GAAGTCGGAAAGTTTGTCCACAAAAATAAAAACTACTCTAAATATTCAAATCATTTTCCACCATCTCTTCAATCTTATAGTAAATTAAAAATCTCTTGAGCACATATGAAGAATTCTATTCTGGAAATATTGTTTTTTCGTGGAATAATTCACAAATATCATGTGCTTTGGGAAGTTTGGCTCAAATCTTCTTTATATTATCGATGTTTGTTGCATTTTCTCAAAGGTTTTTACTACTTTCCCACATATTTGTCTACTTATTTATTGTACGAATCTATCAGTCTAAGTTGGATTATGAAGACGTCTACATCTGGAGGGAAGCACAGTATCAACTGGACAGTTGGGATGCAGCTGGACGATCTGGACTTCGCAGAAGACCTGGCTCTTCTATCTCACACGCAACAACAAATACAAGAGAAGACGATCAGTATAGTAGCATCCTCTGCAGCAGTAGTTCTCAACATACATAAAGGAAAAAGCAAAATTCTCCGATGCAACACAACATGCACCAACCAAATCACTCTTGATGGAGATGCCTTGGAGAACGTTAACACCTTTACATATCTGGGCAGCATCATCGACAACCATGGTGGATCCGATGCAGATGTGAGGGTGCGGATTGGCAAAGCAAGGGCTGCATTTCTACAGTTGAAAAATATCTGCAACTCCAAACAACTTTCAACCAAAACCAAAATCAGCATTTTCAATATAAATGTCAAGACAGTTCTACTGTACGGAGCGGAAACTTGCAGAACTACGAAAGGCATTATCCAGAAGATACAAGTGTTTATTAACAGCTGCCTACGCAAAATACTTCGGATTCGTTGACCAGACACCATCAGCAACAACTTACTGTGGGAGAGAACAAACCAGATTCGAGTGGAGGAGGAAATCAGGAAGAATTGGTGGAAGTGGATAGGTCACACATTGCGGAAAGCACCAAACTGCGTCACGAGACAAGCCCTCACATGGAACCCTCAAGGCGAAGGAAAAGAGGAAGGCCAAAGAATACATTACGCTGAGAAATAGAGAAAGATATGAGAGGAATGAACAAACATTGGACAGAACTGGAGAGGGAACCCCAGGACAGAGTTTGTTGGAGTAAACTGGTGGTTGGCCTGTGCTCCATTGGGGGTAACAGGCGAAGGTAAGTAATCAGTCTAAGTGAAGAGTCACCTTTTGAGATTTTTATTGATATTTTACTATACGTATATTATCTATAAGAATTTAGTTGAAGTGTTCACTACATAATAAAAGTAACTTAAGAACTAGACAAAGTAAAACAATGAACTATTCAAAAACTGATGTTTTAATCGATAAAAATCATTTAGAAGCTTACAGACAATTTTTTTTTGAGTCTAGCAAAAAGCATCATACCAAATTATAAAATGTATTTTACTATTGATTACAATTAACTCTACCTGAAGCCCTTCTGAGGTTACTGCCAGGTTTAAGCTTGGATATAAGAATGGGGTCAGTGATGGTGGGGTTAGCGACCCGTAGAAAACTAACTCACCAAAACTCGCTAATCAGAAAAATAATTCAAACCATTTGAACTCATAGTTTAGAAGAGTTATGAGGTCTCATTATGAAAGCCGAGTGTTTCTTCGAAAGTCACGAGGGCGGTGGTCAATCACACAACCAAAGCAACAAATAATTTAAGTACATGGAATGTTCATACACTGTGGGAGACACTTGCTAGAGAAGTTTTGGAAGTTATAAAAATCTTTATATACATGGGCAGAATCACTGATGGACAAAGCGGATCTGATGAAGATGTGAAAGCCACAGATCTGCAGAGCAAGGGTAGCATTTCTACAATTGAAGAATGTCTGGAACTCAAAACAACTATCAATCAATACAAAAGCCAGAATTTTCAGTACAGGTATCAAGACAGTACTACTGTATGGAGCAGAAACTTACGTGACCACAAAAACCATTATCCGGAAGATACAAGTATGTGTTAACATCTTCCTATACAAGGTACTTCAGATCCGTTTGCAAGACGCCATGAACAATAACCAACTGATGGAGATAAAAGCCAGATTCCACAAGACGAATAAATCTGGAAAAAGTGCAGCAGGTGAATATGATACACATCGAGTAAAGCGCATGAATGCTTCATAAGGTGGTAGGCTGTCACTACGAAATCTTAAGGCCAAAAGAAACAGGAATTCCAAAGAACACGTTACGCCGAAAACTGGAAGCAGAAATGATATAACGTAACCTTAAAGAGACCTCAGATGGAGTTTATTGTAATGAATAGTAAAGTACACTTTATGATTTGATGTGATGCTTGTTGCTAGACTCGAAAATGTTGTGTGTACACTTGTAAGTGATTTTCATAGATTAGTATTCCAGTTTTTGAATAGTCGATTGGTAATTTTTCTAGTTCTTAAGGTACGTTCACTGTGTTCCTAACACTTCAACCAAATTCTATATCAACAAAAGCACGAAAGTTATCTTTTAACTAAGAGTCACAGACATCGGAGATTTATAT